ATTTTCCAGGGGAAAAAGAAGTCCTTTGCCCAGGCTCTGGGTATCAGATGAAAGCTGGCGATTAGGGCTCTCAGGATATGCAGGGATCTAGATTCTGACCACTTCCGTTTTGGAGAAATCCAGCAAAATTTGCAAATGTCTAGTTTGGGTGGCCAGGGTGGGCCAGGGCGAGTGGCCGCAAAGAGAGGCTATTTTCCAGGGGAAAAAGAAGTCCTTTGCCCAGGCTCTGGGTATCAGATGAAATCTGGCCATTTGGCCTCTCAGGGTGTGCAGGCACCTAGATTCTGACCACTTCAGTTTTGGAGAAATCCAGCACAATTTTCACATTTATATCTTTGGTTGGAAGGGTCGGCCAGGGTGTGTGGCCACAAAGAGAGGCTATTTACCAGGGGAAAAAGAAGTCCTTTGCCCAGGCTCTGGGTATCAGATGAAAGCTGGCCATTAGGGCGCTCAGCATGTGCATGGACCTGGATTCTGACCACTTCAGTTTTGGAGCAATCCAGCAAAATTTGCCAATTTCTACCTTGGGTGGTGTCCTAGGGTGAGTTTATGATGCTTGTGTCCCCCAGTCATGTGTTCTGTTGGTGCTGGATGTTATGTACTGTGTCTTCAAATCTGGCTCTGAAGAGCAAGGTTTGTTCTGGTTTGTTGTCAGCCTGCTCCCCCATGGCTGGCGGGACAGAGAGACGGGGCAGTACATAGTGCGGCTTTTGGTTTTGGCTTTGCTTTTTGCTGCTTTGCTTTGCTCTTGCTCCTGCTTCGCTCCTGCTCTGCACCTGCTCTGCTTTTGCTTTTTGCTTCTGTTAGTTAGTTTAGCTAATCAGTCCAGATTTTTCCCTGGACTGTTTTTTCCCTTTCCTTTTTGGAACCATCCAAACCTGCTCCAGACTGGGACCTGGGAAACACTGAGAGTTGGCATCTTGTGGCTGCAGCAGCTATCCCCAGCGCCGGAGGGAGCGACAACAGAGCAACCACTCCCAGGAAAGACTTTCTGAATTTGTCATCCTTTTCAGATCGGTGAAAGTGTTGTCATCTGGTATTGTTCATTTTGTGTGCTGGGGTTGTTTTTCTTGTTAAATAAACAGGTTCTTTCCACTTCTCTCCGAGGAATCCTTCCCGAACTGGTGGGGGGAAAGGGGCTGTGTGGGTTTGTTTTCTGGGAGAGCCCCCTTTGGAGGTTTTCTCCCAGATTTGCCCTAATCCAGGACATGCCTGCAGGTACCATTGCTAACAACTTCCACCAGTTCAAAGATTCCTGCAGGCTCCTGCAGCGCTAAGTTGATTTTGTCTAGGTTCTGTGTCAGGGGTTGCTCATTGTGCTTCCACTGTTGGCCAAGCAGCCCTGCTGCCATCACACAGGCAGCGGCGGCCGCCGTGGCACTGG